GTACATTGGATTTTTTAATTTTTTTTTTTTATTATTACAGCTTATTCAGACTTATATTGTTGGTTTATTTTGTTTTGAGGATGTTTCTTGTTATTAGCTCATTGGTTTATTATATTATAGCTTATATATAATAATAAATTAGTTTTGCATTTGTTTAGTTGTGTGCTGAGTTCTTGTTTTTTTCTTTACTGGGGGTGGTTTATTATTTTTCTTTTTAAGATATGAGGGGAATGAGTAGAAATAGAGCTTGTTTACGGCTCGTTTGATAAACGAATAAAGATAGCTTGTTTGTTTAATAAGTAGAGATAGAACTTGCTTAGTTAACAAGCCAAGCTAGAGCTTGTTTATAGAGCTTGTTTGTTTAATAAATAGAGATGGAGCTTGTTTAGTTAACAAGCTTGTTTGTTTCATAAATAGAGATAAAACTTGTTTAGTTAACAAGCCGGCTAGTCGTAGCTTTTTCAAACATGTTAGTTTGAATTCTCACATTATTTTTTTTTAATTTCTTAGCATAATTCAACTTAACCCCTAATCTAATTAAGTATCATAAGTTTGAACTCAACTTTTCAAATTGAGCTGAACCGCAAAGTTGAGGTCATGTTCATGCTCAAAATATGAATGATTTGATATGGGCTTTTGGGACAATAGTCTCAAATACCGCCGGACACCAAAATTGAAGTGGTCTTTTTGGCCACCATTTTTAAACATAAAGTATTAAAGATGACACGAAAGGTTAGTTGTACCAACCGTGGCTAATTTATTGTGGTGTTAATTTATATGCATTAAAAGACAACTCTGGGCCTGTGGGGTCTTTGAGGGCGATACTCTTTTTTTTTTTCTTATTTATTTAAATTATTGTTTTAATACTATCCTAATCTATTTCAGATCACCAGTCAACATTTTATTGAGTGACCAATGTAACCACAATTTTGAAAAATATCGGGCACAAATTACAATAACAAAAGGGATGTATTAACATACAATCATACTAACATACAACCAAAGCAACAATGGAGGTTCTGTACAAAGGAAAAACGAGAGAGAAAAGTTTGGGGAAGATGAAGAGAGGCGATGAAAAAAACAGAATGAAAAGTGTGCAATAACTAGTGTGAATACTTATGGTATGATTGATATAATGGAATGAAATTTCGTAGGAATAGAATGAATTGAATAATGGAAGGATTGTAAGAATGGAATAAAACTTGTTTTGTCATTGATGTGTTTGGTTTGCAAAAGGAATAAGACATCAATGGAATGACATTATCATTTTTTATTATAAAAATAAATAAATACTTTTTTTAAAAAATAATATATTTTTAGAAAATTATATATAAATACTTTTTTAATAAAATATAAAAATAAAATAATATATTTTAAAATTATATATAAAAAATAATATATTCTTAAAATAATATATTTTTAATATATAAAAAATAATATAATTTTAATAATATATAAATATAAGAAGTAATATATTTTTAATAATATATATTTTTATTTTTTAAACAATAAATAAAAGTAAGTTTTTATTTTTTTATTTTAATTTTATTTTTTAAAATAATATATTTTTAATATATAAAAATAAAAAGTAATATAAATAATATATATTTTTAATATTTTTTAATAATATATAAAATATAATAATATATTTTTAAATTATATATAAATATTTTTTTTTAGTTTTATTTTCATATAAGTATCTAATATATCTAATTAAAAATAAAAGTAAGTTTTCAATTTTTTTATTTGAATTTTATTTAATATATTTTAATCATGATTTATAATATATATTATATATTTATTTTTTATTATTATTTGTTAATTTTATTTTTTGAAAAATTGATTCTTATACACATGGGAGTGAGAAAACCTTCCATTTATTGTGGAATGGCTAATTCCATGGAGATGGGTTTTGCCATTCCCATTGGAATTGTCATTTCATTCTTATGTCATTCCTTTCTACCAATCATGTCATTAGGGTTTGTACAAGACCTCAAGAGCATAATAGTACACTACATCTATTTAACTAATACAATATCTAATTAACATTATAATGTTATTAGGATGGAAAAAAAAGTATATAGAATAATTTATTGTTGTGTCTAAATTTGATTATGAAGCAGAACAAATGCTAAATTTAAAATATTAAAGCTGTTATACAATAAACTATATATTAAGTTTACCAAATATTTGTTCTTTCAAAAGTTTATAGGTTAATAAGAAATATATGGATTTTTCATCTCATCGT